CATTTTAACAAAAGGCGTCGAGTTATTGATATTTTTCCAGTTACGAGTGCGTTCCAATGGAGTAAAAACGAAACGTTTCTTTTCCGCGCGATTTGTCGTTTCAGTTTCACTTTTACGTACCTGACAGACCATATCGTAAAATCATCCATGTGTTATTACAACAGCAACACTTTTATATCGCTGAAACGCTGTTCAAGTAGACTCTCATTATCATCATGATTTGAGACGATTGATAATAGCAACTTTACAATTTCTTCAATTATATTTATGGGACATATATACTGTCTTGAATTAATTATTAAATTTATATCGAACAATCATGTGCTTTTTTTATTGTATTAATGAAATAATAGATTTACTAAAAGTTACGCTCAGAGATTCTCATATTATATTTTATATGACATATTACCTTGAGCAAATTTTGATAATTCCTTCCTATTTCTATTTCGTCATTTTATGTGATAAATATGAGCATTATATATGAGCCATTCATAAGATTCAGCCTTTACAAATCGATTAGAAAAGTTGCTGCCAAATTTACGTACATCTGTCTTCCCGGATAACTTTCATGATTATCACGATGTGAGACAATCGATGGAAACTTTACCAATGATTTCAGTTATATTTATTTATAAGAGCCAAATATAAAATATTGAATTAATCATTAATTTTATTTCATACAATTATGTAAATTCTGTATTATATCTCTTCATGTCTATCTAAATTCTGTATTATATATCTTTCTATTATTTCTATATGTGTGTACACGGAAAAAAAAGATTTGCTAATACATGGACAACTAAAAATATTAGCTGCAGGAGCAAATTTGCTTTTATAGGAAAGTTATTTATTTGTGATAGCTAAAAGATTTGCTAATATATATATATATATATATATATATATATATATATATTAATAATGATAATACATATATTAGCAAATCTTTTAGCTATCACAACTAAATAACTTTGCTATGAAAGCAAGAAAATTTGCTCCTGCAGCTAATATTTTTAATTATATTTTAGTTAATATTTTATGTGTCCATATATTAGCAAATCTTTTTTTCCGTGTATGAAATTTACTTAAATTTACTTTTACATATTTATATTACATTTTGCATGATATATTGTTTGGGTAAATTTTAATTTTTTTTTCGTATTTCTTTTGTATTTTTATTTCCATCATTCTATGTGATAAATATGAGTGCAATCTAATCAGTCGTAAAGGATTCAACGTTGCTGAATCTCGTGATTTAATGTACTTAAATTTGCTGTAATGTTTACGCGTATCAGTCTATCGGGGTCTGTGTGTTGCTCAGCGAAACTTCAATTTCTGATCAATTTACATATCTTTGATATGCTATCGAGTAATACATCTCTTGGATACATAACCAAGTGATCTTTGATATGCAATCACGTGAGAAATTATATTCCTTTGATAGGTAATTGAGGTATTGAGATACTGATAAAATATTAGAGATTCAATAATTATTATTTTAATATAAAATAAAGCACATTTAAAATTAAGAATCTCTCTTAGAAACGTTATCGTGCAACTGAAATTAATTATAACAATTATATTGTTATATATTATTATGTATTAATGTATACGTAATCGATGATTGATATACTTAACTTTAGTCGCACGATAATGTTTCTGATTTTCATTTTTTAAATTTTATATATCTTATTTTATATTAAAATAATAATTATTATAAATTTCTAATATTTTTTCAATATTAATATCTCAATTATGTATCAAAGAAATATAATTTCTCACGTGATTGCATATCAAAGATCACTTGATTACGTATCCAAGAGATGTATTACTCGAGCATATCAAAGATATGTAAATTGATCACTTGATTCGAATATATATCTTTATGTGTATGTGTATTTTTATATCTATATTTTATTATACTATTTGAATAGTGGCAGGGAAAATATTCGAGACATTTCAATTTTTGCTTTAACTAATTTCTATCGCTGGAGCAACTGATGATCTAACTATATCGAAATCCGTTAATACACCAAGTTTTCTTTAATATAATAGCAAAGAGATTAGTTGCATGCCAAACTACATTTTCCATTAATCGTGAATCACAGCATTATCTTTAATGCATTGATAAATTTGCTATGCTGTTCCGAGTCAATATTTTAGTCCTATTTTGAACCTGAACTTTTTAGTGCCCTGAACTTTTTATATTTTGAAGGATCAATGTGTACATTAACTGCTCTTATCAATGGACAATGTCTCGTTTGGTAGACATCCGCTCTGTATTGCGCTCGGCTCACCGAGCAGTCGCTCGCCGATGTCTTCTTATTTTCGGTCACTTATCGCCTTTGCGCGTGACCCCGGATTTCCGTCGAGCAGTATCACATGCAGCCGCGGCGTACAACCGCGAACACTCCGACGGCATTTGTATGCATGCGCCCGGTTAGATTACCCGGCGTGCACGGATTATACGTTAGTTTATGCGAAATAATATGTGTGCGCAACAAGAAGGATCGCGTGTCTAACTAAATTCGAACATTTCAGTATGCAGCCGAGAAGTCACTGTAACCGCGTTTAATCCGGAAATATAACGGAAGGGAAGCGTTAAATCGGATTACGAGCATTGCCCCGGCGGAAAATAAATGAAGCTATTTGCGGAACGCCGGAGAGAGCTCTGTCCTTCTTTTTCCTCTTTCTTCCTCCTTTAAGCATTACGTTAGCGATGTCAATCCGGACGATGGTGTGTCCGACGTCGATTTCTAGCGCAAGCAACTCCAGATGCCCAGCACCAAATTATGCAATTGACAACTTAATTGCATTAGGCTATCTGCAGGTGGAATTTGTCTGAGAATAAACCGGGACTAACAGTCCCGATGTCGAATATTATTACTTTATTGGTTATTGGTTGTATGTAGTGAGCGACGAGAGAAATGGTTCCGCTCGAAATTGTGCACGCAAAATTGAAACTTTAACAGTTAGCGCCGTGTTGAAGTAAAATAAAAAAAAAGAAGGAAGAAGTGCAGGGCACGTCGGTCGCGCATATTAAAACCAGTGCTTTCGCAAACGTGCACTGAAAAAAACAATTTGCTTAATTCAGCGAATCTTTCTCTTTCTCTCTCTCTCTCTCTCTCTCTCTCTCTCTCTCTCTCTCTCTCTCTCTCTCTCTCTCTCTCTCGCTCTAGGGAGAAACATTACAACTAAGTAAATTTGATAGTACAGCAAAGATATATTATAAAAAAATCTTGCACACAAATGCTAAAATTTCCATTGTTACTAATGTTTGATTATTATTTCAATATAAAATTAGCATACAACTAGTATGTTATTCTTCTCGTGACGTTTCAATGTGTCACATTAACGTCAACTTTACACAACTGAATTTTTGTACGTTATTTAGAAATGAAATATTATTTTGAATTATTTTAATACAATTATTTTAACATTTTTTAAAGTTATTTTGATATTGGCAAATAAATTAGATACCTTATATCTTTATGTGTATGTATATTTATATTTATATTTTATTATATTATTTGAATGACTGCGGAGTAAATATTTTAGACATTTCAATGAGCATTTTAGCTAAAACTAACTAAAACTTCTATTGCTGGAGCAACTAATGACTTAATTATATTGCGCTTATTAATGCATCAATTACCTTTAATTTAACAGCAACGAGAATAGTTGCATGTATTAAACTATATTTTCCATTAGTTGTGAATTATAGAATCATCTTTACTGCATTGATCTGCTGTGCTACCCCGAGTTGATATTTTGGATCTGAACTTTTTAACATCTATGTATTTTGAAGGATCAGCGTACGTGTGATACATATGGAAATTGAAATACTACTTAGCGTTTTTAAATGGAATAAAACGTACAAAATTTCATTGGTAGGTTTTAAAAAGGATCTTTCCGTAAAGCTAGTAGAAAAAATATAATCAACAGAGGTTAATACAGGCTTCAGAGTATCAAAACAGAATGAAATATTCAGGTCGAAAGTAGGATCAAAATTTTGACTCTTGGTAACATAGAATTTTATTAGGTACGATCACAAATCTTATGCAGATTTACGACATGGTAATTGTAACATAGCAAACTATACTGAAAAAATATTTGGTAATATCTATTTAGCCTGGATAATAGTTACTAAATGCTTTGATGAAATAGTTTCAACTTAACATATAAGTGAATATAACTAAATAATTTGGTAAGTATTAGCAAATAGCCTTGGCAAGGGGCTTAATATCTATTACTAAGACTTAGTAACTATTAGTAACTATCATTTTATATGGTATACGTGTCAACAAACAATTTGTTAAAAAAAAAAAACATATTGTTTAGTACTACTTTCCACTAGGTTAGACTGACACATCTTAGAATAGATATTTTACCAAATAGTTTGTTAATTATCGAAATATTTGGTAATTATTATCAAATTTGGCATTAATATTATCAAATTATTTGATTAGACCAATTAATTAAGACTTTGTTTTACTACTTATTTTGTAATTATTATCAAACAATTGGTAACTATTATCATATTTGATATTCATTACTAAATATTGATATTCATTACTAAATATCGATATTCATTACTCAAATGTTTAACCAAATGTAACTGTTATCAGATTTTTTTTCAGGATGGCGGCTGTCCGTATATTACGGCTATAGATTTGCTAGTTTAGCGAAATTTTCAGTTGTCATAACAAATTTTTTCTTTCCGCGTGTGTATGTGTGTGTGTATGCATGCGTTAAAAAAGAAAAAGGCAAAAGAACAAAAAAAAGGTGACATTCGAACCGTTCCGAAAATGGACACGGCATAACTCGTACTTCCGGCAGAACTCGCTTCGATTCGTCATCGTGATTCAATCTCGAAACATTCCCGACACATTTCTGACGCGACTCGGGCGTCACATATGCGCGCACCGAGATCGATACTCACGTAGTTTCCGTCCTTCCATCTATATCCGTTCATGCTAATAACTCCGTTTCCTTTATTTCAGGTAAGGATCTAAATTTCGCCAGTAATAACGCGGGTGAGTGTTACATCTAACAATTTACAGTTATTATTGCATGCGCCAATTCTCAATCATATTTCTCATGTTTCTCAATCATGTTTCTCATACGAGTGCTGTGTGCCATGGTTGACGCACTTGACGACGTGTATCGCGCGTTTCGCACACAGAAAAATACATACTGCATTCGCGAGTAAATGTTACTTGTTTCAAGTAAGTTTTGTAAGTTTGTCTATTCACAAATCTAGCATAGGCTCATCGCGTACTTGCTCAGCATTCATTCTGTCAATCTAGTAAGTTTAGCATCTCAAAGAGAATATTAAATTTAAACAAAAATTCGGTTTGTTTACCACATAGACTCGAATCAACTCTCTCTTGAATAAAGTTTCAAAATATTCTTGTGAAGAGAATAAATTCACGGAAAAAAATAATTTGCTGCAGCAGCAAACTAATTTGCTACATATGGGCAGTTAAATATAATTCGCTGTGTTAGCTACTTTTTCTTTGCTGCACGAACCTATTTTCTTGCTCTGATAACAAGAAAATCTGCTCGTATAGCAAGAAAAGTGGCTACCGTAGCAAATTTGCTACAGATGGACAAGTAAATATAATTTACTGCTTTAGCTACTTTTTTTGTTGCAAGAGCAGGTTTTCTTGTTATCATAGCAAAAAAATTGACTTCTGCAACAAAGAAAAAGTGGCTAATACAGCAAATTATGTTTAGTTGTCCATATGTAGCAGATCTTTTTTTCCTTGTTCTTCTTTTGAGTGTGTAAGATAATGAGTTCTCCTCAAGTTTGTGCTGAGTATATTTTAAAACTATTATCAAGAAAATAATTTCTTGTTCTCAAAAAATATTCCTTTTATTTCTACATATTTTGCAAGAATTTTTAGCGCGTAGTTTCTCGCTCTTCTGATGTCATAAATCAAGATGGCCACGGCGAAAAGCCAGGAGCCTTAAAGAAGGGGAAGTAAACTAAATAATCATTTTTCTTAGCAGTAGAATGATATTTTTCTCTGCGCATTCGCGAATTTTACAAGATCGTCGTGTTGTCGAACCAATTTGTAAACTGAGATGACCCGAGTTAAAATTTTGTTTCTACTTTCAACCTCAATATTCCATTTAACGCTTACTTTGATATTCTTAAGCTTATATCAAACTCTTTTAATTCTATTTAAGAGAGATCTCTTTTTAGTGCTTACAAGTGACATTTTGTGCGTTTTCTAATGTTTAATGGCGCTAAGTAAGACTTTAGTTTCCATGTGTATTAAATATATTTCTTCAGAAATATACATATGTTAGGAAGTTTAGATCGAAAGTAGATGACTAAAATTTGAACTCGGAGAGCCTTTTACTCTTCTCTTTACGGGTCAAATAATTCATGAGGTTAATCGTGACGTAAATCGCATCGACAAATGGGACCGTAGCGCCTCGTTATTTGGCTTCTATTTGACCCATCGTTAATAAGTGTAAATATAGAAGTACATTAGCTGATAATTGGAAGACCGGTCATAGGACAATTAATGCTAATTAATTACTAAACAATTAATAACAATTAATTACTAAATTAGTGACCATTAAAACAGGCTTACCGTTTAATTCGGATTCGATTCACTGACCTGTGTTCACACAGTCATTTGTTCTTAGTTAATAAATAAATGACTCGCCGGGACAAACGAATATCCGATCAAGGCTGCTAATGTACAGTCATTTGGGTAAACGTTGCAACACTCGCTTGGGCAAGCTTGTACAGTACGACAATATTAATACACTTCTGTTTATTAATCGCTTTTGTATATCTTTTATTCAAAAACTTGACAGTTCTCGCTTTCAACGCTCAAACTCATGCATAGAGATTCGCAGTGTCGTTATCCCTTTGTATATAGATGCGTTTATTTATACATATGATCTTTTATTTTGATTTACAAGTAGTTACAGACTGAGATATTTTTATAAATGATAAAATAATAATTTTTAAGCAGTATACGTTAAAATTCTATAAGGTAAAAATTCTGTCGGACACGTATCTAATCTTGGACATTCTTATTGTTTTGGTCTTTAAATACGAAAATATTTAAACTTTCAACATATATAAGAAATATACATATGTATGCATTGAATATATACATATAGTTAAAGATTTAGATATGTATGTTTAATGCCTAAAATAATAACAATGTTCAGGATTAGGTACGTGTACAGACATTGGTATTTTCACTCTACAGAATTTTAACTTATAATGCTTAAAAAATTGTTATTTTGTGTTTAAAACACACATACACACACACATACACACACACACACACATATATATACTTAGTTTATAATTATTTTTTAGTTTATAACTATTTATATTTTTATCTTGCTTAAAAAATTCTTTATTTCATATTTTTCATTAAGAAAACGTTTGTTTGTTTATTCGTTTGGTTAATTTGATCTCTCACGCGAACACTTACGGGTTAAATCTGCGTTTTCATAAGCTCGTCCGAAGAAAATGTGGCAATCTTTATGCAAACGACTGTACAATCGCGAAATCCGGACTGATTCAGGACATCGACCGAGTCCCTAGTGCCCTTTCGCCGATCCCTAGTGTCAACAATGCTCACACCTATCAGTCGATGGACATTTACGACAGCTCGACATTATCGCGCTTGCTCGCGCAAGAAGATCGTGCCGCGTACCCTGACTCCTCGTTTGAACTCACTGTAATTTCCGACGACGCGCGACAGGCGACTCTCTCTTCTCTCGTCGCTTCTTTTGACCTCTTCTCAACGTGGAAGGCCAATTCACCTAAATCCCGTGTAATTCGCCGAAGATTCCAGCGCGCGCGCGCGTGCCGTAAGTTAGATCCGACGAAAGAAGAGATATTCTTTTGCGAAGCTCCCCTTCGTCGGTGACGCGAGGCTGGTCTTTCACGGGGACTCATCGCTCGCAGAAGTGCAAGTAGAGAGAGAAAGAGGGAGAGAGAGAGAGAGAGCAAGATTCACATCGGAGGAGAACGGTAGCCGTCGTACCGAGATAAGGACGGCAAATTGCAGGCAATCTGGCTGATTAGGCTCCGGGGTAGTAATCCCGGAGATCCCGATGTGCCGGGACCATCTATACCCTATTCCGCCGACTGCCTTCGTCGTGTATCAGCCGAAGAAAGAGAGACGCGGAAGGAACGGAGCGCGCGCGGCGGGGACTGTCGAGCGGGAAAAGCGACGTCCGTTACATCCGCGCGCCGCACCGGGAGATTAGGATTCTTCGGGGGAACCGGGCGGAATTGAGGAAAGGGGTTTCTTTTCATGCGCCAGATCGACGATACGTGTACTCGTACATTTCTCTCGCTCGTATTTTCTCCGCTACGCTGCTCCACGCTCCCCTTTCACCTTCTTCCGCGCCGCGTCTCGTCCCGTCCGATGTAACGTTCCTCGTTCCGCCACGTCTATCCCTTCGTTTCCATATTGCGCACCCTTCCGATGAAGTCGTAAACTTTCTGCGACGGCTGCCGTGGAATAATCGTGGAAACGTCGCAAAATCGCGACACATTAATCTGTCCCTGCGCAGAGACCGATGATCGACCTCTGTCGTTCCGACTTTCCTCGTATAGAACATTTCTTGGGATTTAATTGCGATCCAGGGTGATATCCTAAAATAATTGCGACCCGGGCGAAAATTTCACAAATACTCACGACTATGGCATAGACTCTGAGCAGATTATTCAAACTCATTGCAAATAAATGCATCGTATTTTGACACCAATTGGAAATCCTGTTTTTATCCCAATTATAGAAAATTTTCTGGAGTCTAATTGGGATATGTTCCTATTTCTCAAATATTTGGAAATACTAAGTAGGAAATCCAAAAGCAGAGGAAAGTAATAATAAATTAATAAAGTAATGATTAGTACTTTCATAATTGTGATCTATAAAATTCAAGAGGTCTGTTCGTTTTAGAACATAAAATGTACAGTTTTTTTTATAACTTAACGACTTGTAAATAATTACAATATGCTCGGATATTCAATGTAATGTTAAAGTCTTAAATTTGAAGGAAAAATATTATATAAATATATTGTTTTATTCAATATATTTAATTTATTTCACACACACACATACACACACAACAAAAAGAGGTTGTACCAAATACTCGAAACAGTTTGAATATTCATGCTTCTTTAGCATTTACTAGTAAAGCATAAATACTCAAAGCGTTTCAGATATTTTGTTCAGCATAAATATAATCTTAGATTTTATTTTGCATTAGAACTGAACAAAGTATATCCTGACTTCTAAAATAATTTCACTATTCAGTAAAATACTCAAAGCGTGTTTTAAAATTTTTTTTCAATTTTGATTCTGTCGGCTGCAATAGTCACTATAAAATTGAAAGATTTCTTGTTTGATACTATAAAAGTATACCGACGTTACTGATCGAAAAAAAGAGATATTTTTGTTTCAATATTTGGTGGAAAACCTATATTTGAGACAAGAATTGATTTCCAATTAGTATCGTAGTAGAATAATCAATTTTAGAACGAATTCGGGTATATTCTAATTGAAATCAACGCGATATCTTGGAAAATATTTGGGAACTTCTATACAAATCTGTTCCGTTTGTTTCTCCTCATCGAATAACGATGAGACTTGGTAAAAAGACAAAAATATACAAGCTTTCAGCGATCAGTACACAGTCATGATCCTTCTCGATACACAACGATAAAAGGAAGAAAGGAAGAAAGAACAAAATTCGCGAGAGAGCGCTTTCCGTCTCACCGCAGCGCAGATTTGCGCGACAAGGCGAAGAAAGGTGGGCGAAGGAAAGCGCGCGGGCGAGTCTGCAAAATAAATAAATAAATAAATGTATAAAATCCGTGGCGCCCAAGGCCATATGCGCGCACACAAGGCAGCGGGAAATTTATTGACCGCGGAGAGATGAGGCTCGCGAAACGACCAGGCCGAGTTGCGCGTCGTATCAATTTTGCCGTCGCCGAGTTGCCGCTCGTTTTTTGCTTCCCGGGCGATGCATTTAAATTATT